AAAAACACAGTAAAAGATGAGGAAAAAAAGTATTTATACGTTTTTCAAAATCTTAAGTCAGAAGACGAAATTACGTGTGGTTTTGCAAACATAAAAAGTAAACCCCTTCTGATAAATTCTGGAGGTAGCACACACATATGATGGCTGCCTTTGGCAGAATTCAAATGAGCGATATTAATCTAGATTAATTCCAAAATTACAGTGAAATTAATCTAGATTAAAAACATTTATCCACCACTAATAAAAAATAAATATTAGAATATCTGCAAAAAATGCTTATAGAAATTTATGGTTGTTATTTTTTTTTGCCTACTTCTGCTGTTAAATTTACTGAAAGCATCAACAGGTACAGGAACAGTCATTAGAGAGAAAGACAGAAAAGCTTCAAAGCATTTTGGACAATTTTAGGTTGGAAGTTTAAATTGGATCTAAAACTGAATCAGGTTAAGATGCAAAAGGGTTATTTTATTCAAACAAAATCAAACATTGGTAATGTTATGTATTGCTTTGATGCCACTATGGGATAAACCCACATTTTCTGTGCTCTGTTTTTTAATTTTTTTTTTTTTTTTTGCCTTCATATTATTTTGTCCCCACAACTTTCCTGAGCTATATCTTTTTCTTTGCTCAGATCCTGGCAGTAATAAATAAATAAAGGTCCATCCAGTTTGCCAAATACGTTCCCGGCAGGCAGGGTCTGAATCCATACTAGATGAACTATCAGTCGTACAAATACTTCAGTAATCCTTACTTTGTGTTGCATGATAATTTGCCAAGCTTAAATACTAATAGCAGTTTATGAGCAGTTAAATGGAGCTTTACTACCTTTGATGCATGAATTCAGTCTCAACAAGAACTATTTCTAATTTAGGTTCAAAAAGGCTGAATTTGATTATTCTTGGGCTGCAACTTACAATTATTTTGTAATTTATTAATCTGTGGACTATTTTTCCAATGAATTGATTAATATTCAGGCAGCCAAAGGTTCCATAGAGAAATTTTTTTATGAAATTAAACCATGTGAAACTAAAACTTTTCCAATTGAGGAGTTCTGGATAGATCCTATTGACAGACGGAAAAGTTTTTCTTCTTAAATGCAAAATATAGAGTTTATTATTTTTTACAATTTTGGTATAATTTCTGCTCAAGCTGGGTCGCTCTGTTAGCTAAAGACAAGTTATAGAGTCTCTACACTTCAGTTAATGATTAGTGGATTACTAGTTTAGTTGATGATTATTTCAATAATCGATTAATCCGATTAATTGTTTCAGCCCTAGATTATTCCTACTTTAACATATCACTTAACACAAAAATCTGATTAAATGCAATTATGTGCTGAAATCCATTCATTCAATGTTTTATAGCAAGAGAGGTTAAAAAGATGATAGTTTGTAACAAAAAATGAAATGTAACGAATCTTTTGTGTTTAAATTAGGTATTATTAGCTGATATTATGATCTTGTTATGATCTTGAGTCAAATGCACTCGTTTATTCACTAATTTTTTCTCTTTAGACAAACTATATCAGGTCTGACTGAATAACTTTCTCTCACTCAGGAAATCCCCAAGACTCCAGATTTTGCTCCATCTCGCACCTTTTATCTTTACACAGTAAACCAGCTGCCTACAGCCAGAATGCTGCTGCAGAACTGCTACAAGGTAAGACTTTAACCTGGACTGTTGTAACACAGAGAGCTTCCTCTCAGTGTTTTCTATGTTCCGTACTTGATCTGTCTGCAGAAATACCACATTTGTTGTCATAATAAAAAAAAGGTCAATTTTAAAATGAACATTGACAGAGAACACTCAAAATTTGACTGCCATTTATACATAAAAGATATGTAGTTTTCTGTTTTTACTGCTTTTGCCTTTAATTCCATCCTGCCATGTTTTTTCTGCAGACCGTGGCGAACCTCATAGAGCGACGCCTGTTTGAGACCAAAGAAAACAAGTACATTATTTTTGATTTTTATTTTGTTTTTACAGATTAAGCCATAGATATCCATAATACAGGTGGCTTCTTGTCACAGGTAAGCTTTGTGGTGGACTCCGTGGTACCTTAAGTAAGAGAGTTAGCATGAACACAACACTCTTGTCCCGTTCTTGACAGATTTACTAACTGGTTTCTTACAAACCTCTTTGGTGTGGCTATAATTCTGGATGCTTGAACATTTTTGAAATTGTAGATTATCTTTTTGAAAAACAACTGAAACTTGCATTATAGTTGTGTTGGTTTTATTGAGACCAATAATGATTTGATGATAACAAATCTTTTGTCTAAATCACAATCTTGCAAAAATAGTTTGGAAGAGGGATCCCTGAAGAACACGGTGTCACACAATGTCAGGGATAAAAGAAGAGAAAATGTTATAAATGTGTGTAGATAATGTATTTTAATTAGGCTACCAAACATTTGTTTGCATCCAAAATGAAAGTTTGTTTCTTTATTATATATGTGTGCTTTGTGTATAACTTTTTTTGTATCTGAATGAATGAAATATTATTGAATATTTTGTTCTGTACAAAGCTGAATGTGCTGACAACAAAATCACACACAAATCTGCAATTGAAATCAAATTAATTAACCAATGGAGGACTGGATCTGGAGTCGCACACAAAATTAAAGTTGAAAAACACCACAGGCAGATCCAACTTTGATGTAACGCCGTTAAAAACAGTTAAAAATGAGGTTCAGTTTTGTGTGTGACCTCCACATGCCTGTATGACCTCACTACAATCCCTGGGCATGTTCCTGATGAGGTGGCTGATGGTCTCCTGGGGGAACTTCCCTTAAGATCTGGACTAAAGCATCTGCCAACTCCTGGACAATCTGCACAATGTGACGTTGGTGGATGGATCAAGACATGATGTCTCAGATTTGCTCGTTCCGATTCAGGTCTGGGGAACGGGTGGACAAGTCCAAAGCTTTAATCCCTTCATCTTGGAGGAACTGCTTACACACTCCAGCCACATGAGGTCTAGGAACTCAGGGCCAATCACACCAGCATATGGTCTCACAAGGGGTCTGAGGATCTCATTACGGTACCTAATGGCGGTCATGCTATCTCTGGCGAGCACATGAAGGGCTGTACAGACTTCCAAAGAAATACCACCCTATACCATTACTGAACCACTGCTAAACCGGTCATGCTGAAGGATGCTACAGGAAGTAGATCACTCTCCACTGTGTCTCCAGACTCTGTCACGTCTGTAACATGTGGTCAGTGTTAACCTGCTTTCATCTGTGAAGAGCACTGGGCGCCAGCAGCAAATTTGCCAATCCTGGTGTCTAGTGCCTTTTATGGTGTTGGGCTGTGAAAACAACCTCCATCTGTGGACGTCAGGCCCTCATACCATCCTTGGAGAGTTGGTTTCTAACCGTCTGTGCTGAAACATGCACATTTGTAGACTGCTGGAGGTCATTTTGCAGGGCTCTGGCAGTGCTCCTCCTGCTCCCCCTTGCACAAAGGCAGAAGTAGTGGTCCTGATGCTGGGTTGTTGCCTTCCTACATCCTCCTCCATGTCTCCTGGTGTACTGGGCTGTCTCTTGGTAGCGCCTTCAGTCTCTGGACAATACACTGACAGACAACAAACCTTGCCACAGCCAGCATTGATGTGCCATCCTGGATGAGCTGCACTACCTGAGACACTTGTGTGGGTTAAAAAGTCTGTCCCTTGCTACCAGGAGTAGGAAAGAACCACCAACATTCAAAAGTGAACAAAACATCAGACAGAAAGCATAGGTACTGAGAAGTGGTCTGTGGTCCCCACCTGCAGAATCACTCCTCTGTTGAGTGTCTTTCTAATTGCCAAGAAATTCCACCTGCTGTCTATTCGATCTGCACAACATGAAATGTGAAATTGTGAAATTGATCATCAGTCTTTCTTCCTAACAGGACAGTTTTTTACAGAAGTTTAATTTTATTGAAGTTGTATTGTGTTTTTTTACGTTTTCCTGTATTTTTTTTGAGCAGTCTATATACTTAAGTTATATAAGCAGTATATCCATGTAGATTTTTTTAACACACATGCAGGAATGTGTATTTATATATTAAGAATTATGACAAACAAAACTTTTATAAAAAAAAAACTTGAAAATTGAAGTTATAAACCAAATACATTCACCGTTAAAACACGTTACAAGTGAGCAGGCTGCGTGTGACAAGATGGCAGCTGGGGACCTTTATTATAGATATCTATGGGTATAGTTCTTGTTTCCTCGTGGCTGACTGCTTTGATGTCGGGTTTCCAGGCGCCTGTTGGAGAAATCTCAACGAATTGAAGCCATCCTGGCATCTCTGCAGGCCAGTGGGGCAGAGCCGGAACAGCTGAGCGAAGTCGAAGAGATGATCTCTGCTCCAGAGAAACAACAGCTGGACGTCTTAAGGCTTCACGTAAACAAGTAAGAAGACAAAACTTAAAGCTCAGGTTTTCAACTTTCCACAAAACCGCTAATGTTTCTGCGTTTCTGTTTTTCCAGGTTAGATTCAGCAGAGAATCAAGTAGATGAAACCATCTTTATCTTGGAGTCCTACATCAGTTCTACAGCTAAAAGTTAAGATTTAAGTGTTACAGTTTATACAAAATGTTTCTTATTTTAGGATTTGTTTCTTTAGTGTTTGTTGAATTGACATGAAGATTGTTTTCATTGTTTTTATTGCATCAATCAGCACTGAATAAATGGGTCATATTGCCTCTTTTCAGCTGTGTTTTATTCTGTACAAAAAAAATCATCTGTTCAGATGGTTTAAAGTATGAAATCATGAACAACTTCTGCAAATTAAATAAAATAACTGTAGTTTGATATATTTTGCTTAAAATAAAAAAAGGGTCATTCACACAATTGCCCCTCTGACCCTGGAAATCTCAGGCAGTGCATTTCCGTTGGACCCTTGTGAATCTGTCTTTTGGTCCTGGAGATCCCCGTTTCAGCATTCGAAATTGAACATCATGTGGCCTGTTTTTAGGCTGGTTTTGCTATTCTGGTCGCCTTCTTTTTATCAAAACTCTCAGTCTTCATGGTTTTCATCTTCTCTGTGTTTATGTGTGAAGAATCCCAGCTTCAATAAGAAGAAAACAGCTAAGGTTAATATGGTCTGTAACAAATGTGCTTAATTTTTTAGAGATTTATTCTGTTACCTTCCACAGTATAAATATAATAAGCGCTAGCAGCAGCAAACCACCTATAACGCTGCCGATCAGAATCCAGAGTGAAATGGGAATCGCTCGGCCCTTCAGCACCTCCAACACAGTCTGGAAAAATAAAATGTGGAGGAAACGATAAGAGGAGATAACAGTGCATCGCACAAGTATCCATTACCCCATTACAAGCTTGACAGTTTTTCTCCTTACAACAACATTTTAAAATTGGTGTGTTTTGTAGAAAACATGCTAAGGATGTGGTACATTACTGAAGATGGAAAATGATTTTAAAAGTCATAAAATATAGTGTTATTTGCTTCTTTGTCTCATTGGTGTGTTTCAGATTATCGAACAAATGTTTAAATCAAAAAAAAAAAAAAACGGTTTTGTGGCACTTGTTGGTAACAACTTACATCAAGTCTTTGTAAAATTAGTTTTATTCAGTTATATTACAGGGTTTAAAGCAATTGCTTGCTTAATGCAACATCGCTATATCAAATTTAATCTGAACTTTGACTAGGCCACTACAAAAAAGTATATATATATATTTTTTTTTGAAGCCTTTAGAGGTGGATTAAGATCAAAAACTGATGGCTGGACATTGTCCTTCAGGATTTTCCTCAAGAGACCCGAATCATGGTTGAAGAAGCCAAACAGCATGAAACTAAAGTGGATAAACACATTGATTTGGACTTTTATTGTAATCACAACTGACTGCCTGAACACAGTCTATGATAGGATACCATCTTTCAAGTGTAATACCATCTTAAACTGCAATGGACACACCTGGTGTATATTTTAGTGGCTGAGATCTGGGGCTCACAGAGTGTGGTAGGGACAGTGTACAGATGTACAGAAATAAAAGCATCAGGAATATATAGGTACCTTGAAATCCCTACTTCTAAAATTTTCAGCTCAAGTGTAACAATTGTATATTAACCTGAGGACTCTTTATTGTGTATAGGAAGATTAGTGCAGCTCAGAACAGGTGTAAAATAAACCTAAGATGCTGCAAATGGGTGAATCTAAAATGAGAAGAGCAACAACAGAATAGTTTAGAATAAAGTGTATTCATGTTAAAATGACCCATATAAGCCCAAACCTATATGTAAGTGATGATCAATGGAATTAGTTAAAGTTATGTTCAGAGATGTTTTCTATCCAGTTTAATGAAGTCAATTTCTGGTTTCCGCATTAAGCTGACAGGGTCACCTAATTGTTTTATTTTACTTCTACTTCAGTTGTCCACAACATTGTGCTCTTTTATGAGATAAAAGGACAACAGATTACAGTAATGTTTGTTTGACAGGATGATAAGCTGAAAGGTTTAAGTGGTCTGAATACTTAAAAATAAAGTCAAATATGTCGTTTCTGTGTTGCTGTAAAACTGTGCAGCCTTACCTCCCCCAGGACTGTTCCTATCCCCAGAGTGATGAGGTTAGGATCCTGAGCTGAGAGGCTGTAGGCACCAATTATCTTCACAGACTTATATTTGACCTGCAGATATGCATGAAGGATGAGCACTCTTTACATTATTCAAGGAGTTTAATCTTATATGTGATGGTTGGTTAACTCACTTTTCTGAAAAAGTCATCATGAACTCTGCGGCTGATCCGTATAATAGCCTGCTGGCCGAGCTGTTTCACCTCACAGACAACTTCTGTGCACCATGAGCTACTGCAGTTCTGCACATAGAAAAACAACTACTATTAACATCTGATTAGAGCTTCTCAATGTTTATTTCTAAAACAAAGGATCTCACCAGTATTTCATCACGCATCATGTCCTCGGGGTGAAGGGGACGGACGTCTCTCTGTCTGGATTTTAGCTGGGTCACATCACTCAGCATGCTGCACTTTATTCCTGTGGCCTGAAGGGCAACTTAAAAAATTAACATCTTTCAAAATTCATAAATATAAAAAGAAATCACTATCCCCACTCACGTTGTATGTGAAGACTTCCGTTACGGTCATGAAGACCACATCTTCTGCAGCCACAGAGGGCAGAAGCACACGCAGCTCCAGATTACTTAGAGAGTAACAACCAATATTAAGCAGCTGCGAAAACAAAATAAGATGTTTTAGTTCAACTTGTTCACTTGTGATAAAATAATTTTTTGCCTAGCATTTTACTGTCACTGTCGCAAGTAAAGAGCAATGAAATGAACTCTGCATTTAACCCAACCCCTTGGGGAACAGTGGGCTTCCATTGTGCAGCGCATGGGGAGCAGTGGGGTTGTTTTAGTGTCTGACCATTTTTTAGTGAAATGTCTATTTAATTGCTCAACTCAAATGTTTGCTGTTTCTAATAATAAATCAAATAAGCGAAGTGATAAAAATCAAGAAATCTTTAGAATGTCATTTTGCAGCCGAAATATTTATTATCCCCTTATGCAGAGGACAAAACATCTCGACTGGTCAGCCAGGCCAACAATGACCCTAACGACTCCAATTACTAAGAGGTGCACCTGTTTTTTTTTTTTTTTTGCATGTTTTATAAGCCATAACAAGACTTTTGTTTGGGTCACTCTATAAACCTGGAACTCAAATGCAACTCCAGACATTTTGAATTGAGAAATCTTTCTGGATGGGAAGGGAAACATCTTCCAATTTGGAAAACAAAGTCCAGTGGTTTGTTTTTTTTTAAACTTTTTTGGAAAGCCAAAACATTTATTTCTATTGCTGGGCTTTATTTGGCAGCCCAACATAAAGGGGAACATCATTGTAAAGCGTAAAGAAAGTATAGTTTTTGTGTGTGTGAAAATATGAAAAATATTGCATGCATTTACTGTTTTCATATTCCATTGTGGTGAAAGCATTGAAGCAAACGCTTGGCTTTCAAAAGATTCTCACTGATTAGGCCATTTTGCACCATGTGCAGTTACTTTTAAAGAGCATACATAAAAGCCAAACTATTCAAATATGAGCTCAGACCAGAGTTCTCACTTTCACATGTTTTCTTTTGCTGGCACGGTTTGTGGTGTATTTAACATGAAATCCCAACAATACATTGAAGTGTATGGCAAGACATGACAGAACCATTCAAGTTGAATTCTGCAAGAAGCTGATCTAATGTTACAAAGCAGGTTCTGGTTCACTTATAAAGCATGAGTAAGAACATAACAGTATTTCTGAAATGTAAGGAGTTTGTCTATCCATTTAGATTTAGAAATAACCAATTGTTCTACCATTCCTGTTTTTGTACTTAGATGGGAAGCTAGAGAGAACTCAGACATGCATTGGAAGAATAAGCAAACTTCAGCCCTGATCAAACCCAGGACCATCTTGCTGCAAGGCAATACTGCTGCATACGATGCTGAAATGATCTGTGCCAAAACGTAAAATTTGAGTTCAGTTTACCCTGATGTGTGTGTAGAACTCTGGGCCCATGGCCTCTGAAGCCGCCCGTGTGGGGTGGACCTCGTAGCGGTTCAGGTTAGACTCACTGCACAAAACAACATAAAGTTAAACAGCTGGGGATTAATACTGATGACATACATTATACATTCATTTTATTCTGTGCACACACCTGCTTACAAAAACATCTGGCTCATACTGAACATAATTCACCAGCTGAACACTGTTGTCCCCCAGAGTTTCTTCTCTCTCACTGCTTTCACTGTAAGACAAAAATTATATTAGTGCGTTTTGTTGTATTTGAAGATTATTTTTGGTATTTGAAAAGTCTGGATGTTTACCTGGTAGCATTGAGCTTCATTTGCACACGATTATGTAAAACAGTGCAGCTGAACTCAAACTCCAACAAAAATTTTATCTAAAAACACAAAGGAAAACAGGCAGCTGAAGTGATACATCCTACATCATAGGCAAAGGGGTGGGAGAAGATCAGCTACCTTTGAATGAGAGCGAAACACTGGGTAGCTGATGTTACATGAGTGGCTGTTTGAGCCAAGAGCGGTACACTCGATCTTGAAGCTGGTATCCTCCTTTGTAAGAAGAAAAATGGAAATGATTACATTCAGGCATTGGATTGAAATGTGTTAGGGACATAAGAGCTGCTTACTTTGAAGCTGAGGCTAGAGAAGTGGAGGTTGCGTGAGTAGTGCAGCTTCAGGCTGGTGTTGTAGGCATTTTCCAGCCTGTTCTCGAGCTGCACTTCCACGGCCAGACGCCTACGAGGGCTGCGAATCACATAAGGTTTCTGCCTGTGTGTGAGAATATGACTCACTCAGTTTTTACTCCCAGAGCATTATTACCTTTACTGGTTCTAGAGAATTAAAGCAAAGTATCTGTTGTTACCTTGTCCCTGAGATGTCCATGTGTGCCTGCAAGACCAGATCTGTTGTGCAAACGTCATCTTCACCACAGTCTTTGAAAAACGGGATCTGGATAGAAGTTGTAGGAGGAGGAACGTTATTGATTTTATTTATTTATAAAAACAAAACAAACAAAAACAAAAAAAGGCAGAAAACTGCTGAAGCTAATTTTGTGTACTTACAAATTTCGTGACATTTCTCGGTGAGTCTTTGTCCAACACTGGACCCGTTGCTGTGTCATTGATCTTAAACTTTAGGAAGAAGCTGATTGGACGAATATAATCTGCTGTATCCTGTGTGGCAGACAGCGAAAGTTTAGCCAGAATAAGACAAGTACCTTTTTTATATTATCTTTATAAGGTACTTGTAAAAGAGTTGTTTATTTATTGCAGCTATAAAATGTATTAATAACGAGAGAATTAACAGAAGGGTTTAATTATCAGGTGGTTAAGTCCAGTGAGGAGAAAGTAGGATTAAGAAGTAAATATTTTGCTTTTGCTCCAACTTCATAAACTACAATTGGCTGACACTCTCATTTGCAGAACACTAACCCAGCTGGGATGTAAAGAATTGCATCTGTTTTTAAGAAATCTAGTAGCATTATGTTTTATTTTCTATTTTTTCACACTTAAAGTCGTAGAGAAATCATATTTAAATGTCAAATATTATATTTTGAGTCTCCCCCGTCATACATCTTTTATTTAGAGGAGGAAAGCTGGGATACAGATGTTTCGAAGAGGACGCCAGGACGCCAGAAGCTTGGTTTGGTGTAAAAGGCTTACAGCCGTACATGTTTGAGCCCTTTCCTCAGAACGCTGCCAGTTCTGTTAGCTCTACGCCTGCCGAAGATACAGACGTCCATACCCATGAACACTGGGACGTAACTCAATTGTAAAGTAAATAAGGATTCTTATTTTTAATTTCAGCCGTTGCTTATATTAGCTGCAACATATGAATCAAGATGACCGAACACTTTTGTATTGACAGATGACCGTTGATATATGACTGGTCAAATTTAGCTGTAGAAGCTGATGTATAACTAACTGGCCTGCATAGGATAACGAAACCCCCCCCCC